CACACACACACATCTTTATGCATGCAAGGCAGCACTTCACTTGCGATAGTAACTTCTAGTTTTAGAATTGTTTTTGTATCTAATTAATTGTTCCTCATAATATAATCTCTTTGATAATTGTATTATATGATTTAATTTATTTTTGTATCTCTTATATATTTTTTCATTTTTTCTACTTGGATTTTTCAAAAATGTTTTGTATAGTTTGTTTTTCCTTTTTACTGATTTTAGTATACAATTTGTCATCCATGGACTCTTTTCTTTATCGATATGTTTCTTGATTATTTTCTGTGGAAAATTTGTTTCAAAGGCCATCATGAACAATTTCGAGAACTCATTGAAGGTATCATCAGGGTTATTGCTATGATGACAACTTTGTATAGAAAAGAAGTTGTCATAGTAACACGATTATTTTAAGAATAGTTTTAAAATTGAAAAATCCTCCCAAAATATCACTTTCATTTACAACCAGGAACGACAACAAAATGATTAATGTTCGGTATTCAGTTCTTAAACGATTGGCATCAGCAAGTTCAAAAGAAAGGCAATAATTTGGCGAAAATTATATTCAAGCGAAGTAAAACATCAGTGGTATACGCACTTTGCTTTAGCCTACAGTATGCCTACAGTATGCCTACACATATGCCTGCAGTATGCCGTCGCTATCATTGATTTTAAACAATATTTTATTAATAAAAAGGACAATTTTTCTAAAAGCCTCAGGCTTATCTAGAGAAATCTTGTCCTACAATAATATTACAAAGTTAACATAAATTGACATCACATTCGGACTAAAATACTTAGAACAGACATATTAGGTAGGATAAACGGACGAATGGCAGAAAAATGCACATCAAAACAATGCAGAACAAAGATCACACATAATATTATGTATACATGCAATTATAAGTCTTAACAAAAACGTTTAGAATTAGTAATAAAGTCTTGCACAAGTGAAAATAGCTTAACGTTAATTGATAAAGTTACATCAGGATGTCCATATAAAAACCATTGAAAGCGCATTGAAGTTGATCAGTTTAACCATAAAGTACCGAGCAGTTGTTCAGCGGCAGCAAAAAGAACACGACGTTCAGCAGCAAATCGATTACATTCAAAGAATAAGTGGAGCTCTGTTTCATTTGCTAAACCACAACTACACATTGGTGTTGCCATGCAGTTCATCAAGAACAAAGGATAATTTAAGGTACTATTACGTAAACGAAATCGAGTATGCAATAAAGAAGCCATGCGATTTCCAGTGGTAAATAAAGTATTCATTTTTGGCATTTTACAACGCCACTTCATATAGCTGTTTCGAAAACAAGCTAATGAGTGAGAGCTACGAACGTCAAGTGGCAAAGTGTTCTAAAGTTTTAATTTGACTGAGGAAACTGAAAAGGATTTTTTAAAACGTTCAGTCCTAGCATGTGGGATATGATAATCTTCTCCGGTACGGAGATTGTAAGCTGTTATAGACCTAACTTGGACGGGACAGAGTTCCTGCAAATAGGATGGTGCAAGATTATTAAGTATCTTATAAATCATATTTAACTTATGATAGGTACTTCTTTCTTTCAGTTTGACCTATGCTACTTCATTAAGCAACCTTTTACGAGATGTTCCCTTTATAGCACCCGTAACCAATCTAGCTGTTTCATACTGGAGTTGTTCAAGAAGATCATTATCAGTTTCGTTACAACCATCCCAAACAATATCTGCATATTCCAACCATGAACGAACCAGAGTATGAATAATACGTTATCTCAATCGTTTTTGGTTTTTTGGGACACCCTGTATGTGAGCCAGGCTTTCACGTTTAAGCCATTTAAAACATTTGCAGTCTGTACTTTATCAGATATAAAACACTCGAACTGCGCTCTCGTGTTTTATATCTGATAAAGCACTCCTGCTCGTGTTTTAAATAGTACATACCACACTCAGTGTACAGTTGTGATCTTGTGATAGTTTGAAGTAATGTTTGTGCATGGTCTTTAATAGTGATACAGTGTATTACGGGAAACACTGAGTATTTTAATAAAATATAAAACAACGGTAACTCCGAAAATAAACATTTTAATATTCATATATGAATACTAAAATAATAAAATTAATAATATAAATAATCATAATGTTTTAATATTAATTTGAATATTAAAATGTTTATTTTCGGAGTTACCGTTGTGTTATATTTTGATACAGTGTATCGTTGTTGTTGTGTAATTAAAGCATTGTCGTTGAGTAATCTGTGACTGTAGTCTTAAAAGAATTATTGGGCTGAAATTGTGGTCTAGTGAAAAGGTTCCAAAAATGATGTCACGGATATCAGTAGAGCAACGGTAGGGTAGAAAGATTAAGAAATAGTTTATGGTTAGATTCTCATGTTTCGCGCACAATAAAACCAGGGTTAGGGATGGGTTGTGATTAGGGTCAAGATCAAAGAAATATATTTGTGACCGAAACAAGGCTTTATTCATAATATTTACAACAATGACGTCACAACGATTAAGTTAGTGTTGATCGCTTGCAGTTACGATGGGGTAGGAGCTCACGATTGTATTTAAAGTGTATATGAAATGAAATTTCTTATTTTCTTATTTTCTTAAATGAAATAACTCTTTAAGGTTACTCCATATGATGAAAACTCTGATTCCATCATTTTTTACATTTTTATATATTTGAATCGAGGGGCTGAAAATCTTTCGATCCTCAAAGATTATTTTCAAAAATATTAAAATACGACCGACATATAACTGAAAATGTTTTAAATTCGAATAATTTTGCCGCGATAATAGTAATTGTAATTGACATTCTGCTAATTTGTGTGAACTCATTACCGGATCCGCATGCAGGTGAGAAATATTGTAACACCTGGTTGGTGAAATATTTCTTTGATACTTTATTCACAACAATAGCACATCGAAACACACTGTAGCGGTAGTGAGCAATTTTTAGAAAGTTAAATTAAAGCTTGTATAGTTATACGCGAGTGCAATGCCTTTGAAATCAAAGAGGCATAAGAAAAACACAAGTCCGTTTTGCTCTAAACGAAAAAGGAAAAAAATCCTTTCGGCAAATGGAATTCGATACGAATAAGAAACGAGTGCTTGCAGACAATGACTTGGGCTCATGGTTTTCCCAAGACCAACAATGGCCCGAACAGTTTGAGGATTCCGCAACTTGTTCTTCAGCAATGACTCAGACAGCAACAGCGAGTGCAAGTAAGAGGAAGATAGAAGAAAGAAATCGCTTATCGAAACTCGTCCCGTCGAATCTGCATTTGAAATATTGTTTTCATTCAGCGTTTGAATAAACTGTCACAGGCAAAAGTGTAAATAAGAGTAACGCACATACCCAATAGCTCTCATGTCCTGAAGAAGAGCGTCTTTGCTTTCAGCTCCAGGTGAATCCTCACTTGGCTCTTGGTCGCGCACCACAGATCTCCTACATTTACTTTTTGCTGATTTAGCTTGCTCCATATTCGCTTTGCTCTCCCTACATTTGCGTTCTGCCGGCATATTTAATGTTTTTGTTTTGCCTGTTACTCACTTATAACAAACTAGATCATCAATAAATGACGCAGAACCACCTTGCCAAAAGTACTTTGATGAGGTTCGATCTGATTGGCTTACAGTTTGAAGTGAGAACAGAGGGCGGAGAAACACAACAGGGAGCGGAAAAACCCCGCGAAATCGCTTTTAGCCTTTTACGCAGAATGAAATATTCCCAAATTGTCCTCACAAAAAGACTAATGCACCGTGCACGTTTTATTCGATTCCTTCCAAACTTTGCCACAATGTAGAACAATTGTTAAGGAGCAAAATGGTGTTCGCGTTTTTCGTTTGACGCCATACTTTTCGAGTTATAGGCATTCGTTCTACCGTGTATACAAAATTTGTGTAAGTCAACTTGTCTGCTTTATATCAAAGCAAATACAGTAGCTGTCAAAAGATGCGAACACACTTTTGTTATTTGATCATCTTAGATGGGAAATATGATGTTTTGCAGGTCCTAGGGTTAAATCGGCGGCGTGCAAATCTCGTGACTCAAAGGAGGTCGGATTTTCAAAAGTATCCCGTAGCAACCACAGTGTTTTAAAATATAACATTTTTGTTAAATTGCTGGTAATAACAATGATTTATCATCACGTACACAAAATTTGACGGCAAAAGCGTAAAAATTGAGTGCGCGGTGAGCATTTTTGTAAAACGCCATTTCATCATGTGGAGTAACCTTAAGCTGTATATAGCGTAACTTGTTTTTCAGTTACTTGTTTTTATGGTTTGTTCCCGAGATATTCCAATTTGCTTTATATGTAAATGAGTGTGAATATG